GAAGCTGACGGGTCTGCCGGATGGCTCCAGATTCCTGGAGCTTTCCACCACTGACAGGGCCAAGCCTTCTGCGTTCCTAGCCCTCGCCGCCTGGAAAAGATCCGTGTTTTCTCTCCTGCAGGCCACTCCCAGCTTCCTTAGGTTCTCCTGAACTTGGGTGTTTTTGAAAGGAACCAATGAAATGCAGTGCCCATGTCAGCCCTGAAGATAACTTTTTTCTTTCCAGACATTACATGAATTTCTCAAAAGAAAGAAAAAGATGGTTTTTTGAAAAAGCTATAATTCTAGGAGTGAGGGCCTAGGAGTCATATATATCCTAGCACTGCACTTGACACAAATAGATGTACCTACACACACACAACTATAGGCTCCGACAGGATTTCAAAATAATTGCAAGGTATGTCTAAGACATCTGCCATGCCCTAAATAGAAAAGGGTTGTCATCCACATTAACTGTATGTCAGAAAATTGGGTGTTTGAAGTGCTCATATATTTTTAAAAAGTGAGTGGGTAGATGCCTGCATTCATGTACCCACAAACCAGGTAGGCAGATGCAAAGCCATGGAAGTGGCGGATGGAAATCTGTAGATGGAGATTCAGGATCTGTCCGTGTAACACCTTGTACTTGGACGGCGCTGCTTCCTTCCAAACTGTCCCCACAGACATCATTCCATCCGAGATCCTCCTCGGGTCTCTTGCTTCTTCCAACCACTCGCTTTTATGAGAAACCCGTGGTTGGGATAACTTTCCTAGGCTGAGAAAGACAGAGAGCGTTCAGGCTGAGCAAGCCTGAGGCCCAAATGGGAAGACAGCCAGGAAAGGATAGAATGTCGCCTACACCGTGCGGTCCAGTAAGTCTCATAAAACCTGGGAAATGGACCGTTCGGAGGAGCGGGGTGGAGAGGGTGTTCGCTATGGTGATTAACAAAACCCAAACCCCAGGCGTCCTGGAGGCAATGTTCTTCCTCTCAGGTACTTCTGGTTCCTAAGTTACAAGGAGGCTCCAGAGGGTTCATGGGAATGGAAAGTGAAGATCATGGAGTTTTCCCATGGACGTCTTGACGTCCCCCTCGGGTTCATGGTGATTGCTCCTATAACGGAAAAGCTTCCCGCAGTAGAAGCATGTGCGTGGGCAACGCCTGTCTCCGCACAAGGACTTGTATTCCTTCCTCCCGTGGAAGTGGGTGGCCTAGCCCTTTGCCACTCCTGGTTATCAATGGCAGTGACAGTGCTAAAGCAAGCCCTTTGCCACGGAGCTGATTCCGGCCCATGGCGGTCCCAGGGTGCATGTCACAGTAGAACTCGGTGCTGTAGGGTTTACATCGGCAGATTTGAGGGGGTGGTAGATCGCCAGGCCTTCGGAGGCATCTCTGGGTGGCCTCAATCTACCCTCTTTTCATTTGGCACCTAAGTGTGTCGACCATTGCCACCACCCGTGGAGGAAAGGATGGTGAGACTTGGTCTTATATACTTCGAGCGTGTTGTCAGGAGAGGCCTGTCCCTGGAGAAGGGCATCGTGCCTGGTAAGTAGAGGGGCAGCGACAAAGAGGAAGGCCCTGGACCAGATAGACGGGCACAGTTACCAAGGCGATAAGCTCAACCATAAGAACAGTTGTGAGGATGGCACGGGACCAGGCAGTGTTTTGTTCTGTTGTGTACAGGGTTGCTATGGGTCAGAACAGATTCAGGGGCACCTAGCAACAACAACAGTTGTTGGCCATGAACAATAATAAAACACGAAACCCGTTGCCATCAAGTCGATACTGATGCATAGTGACCCTCCGGGACAGAGTAGGCTGCTCCCTAGGGTTTCCGAGACAGGAGCATTTGAGCCACCGATCTCCAAGCTAGCAGCTTGGCTCGTAACCCCCGGCGCCTCCAGGGGCTCCTGGCGGGTTTGTGGCCTGGCAGGCATTGGCTGTGCACCTTGCATGCACCACGTTCTCCTAGTAAACTGGAAAAGCCCCATGAGATAACACGCTGCCCCTGCCCCACACACCGGCGCAGGAGAGGAAGCTTCCAGAGAGAACATTTGGGCCATTTGCCCAAGATTCCACAACAGGTGAATGAGGAAGCCAGGATTCAGACTCAGGCTCTCTTTCCGTTTGTCGCCCTTGTGAGTTCTGGCAGTGGCTGCTGCTTGTAATTCTGGCCAACGGGTCTCAGGGAGTGAGGACCACGGAGGAAGCTCCATTTGGGGGACTGTCTCTGTCCTGTTTCGGGGGGAAACCCAGCTGCATGAATTGGGCATCTCTGAATCAGCAACAGGAAGGCAGAGAGAGGTCAGTCCCTGGCTTACAGAGCATGGGCATGGGTTTTCCTGAGGTCAACTGGCTGCAGAATTTGTTCTCCGCAGCCTGTCTCACTTCACGTGAGGATCCTGGTAAAACATGGACCCTTATCTTAGAGACCTTGTTTCTACTGGAAATCCCCATGGGGTCCAGTTCCTTGGCTGTGTTGTGAGTGACCTGATCTCTGAGTGAGCTTGCTGGCACACCTGACACACGCACGCTGTACTTACCTGTCAGCCCAGTTCTACTTTTAC